TTTTTTATTGGACTTTGAATATTATAGTCTAATATTTTTATATATTTCATTATAAAAATTAGAGTGATATGAATTCATATGTAAGATATGGTATTTAAAGATATCAAACAAGAAGAAAATATTAACTTGGATGAATTTAAAACATCAACAACATTTTTAACAAGTATAACATTAATGCCACTATTGTACAAGCTAACATCCTTTGCAACACTTTTAGTAGATAATTATCATTTTGTATAACAATTTTTAATATAGAATAGAAAAATGTCAAGAAAGAAAATATGTGAAGCAAACACAAATATCAAGTTATTTATAGAATCATAATGACAAAACAATATATTTTATAGTAATTCTGAAAATCTATGTTTTTGTTTTCGTGTCTTCACATTATTTTCAGCTATGTTGTAGATGTATATTGTAGTCCTAAATTATTTTTAGAAATTAATATAAACTCTTAATTAATAAGACTATAGTTATAGAATAATAAGCATACTTGTGTATTGCTTCTATAGTTCTGCATTTAAATTAAGCTATAGAAAATAAAGAAAAATTCAAAATTTTAAATATATTAGGAATATACAAAACCAAAAGAATTGTACCAAGGCATGTCTAATTTTTTTTTATATGTTTAATCTATTTACCTTAAATCTATAAATGATTAAACCATAATTATGGATTTTAGAGTTTCTTTATGTATTTAAAAATTCACTTTTATAATGTTTATAGCTGAATTTTATATATATGTAATTTATAGAAATGATACTATTTATTAGAAATTCACAAGGATTGTTGTTGTTTTTATTATATATATATATATCAATTTTTATTTTTTATATTATTTATATCAATAGAAGCAATAATTTTTGTTAAAAAATCTTCAATTTGTTCCACTAATATTTTTTTATCTATTTTTTTATCAATGTGTTTTTTTTTTCACACATTACCTTATAAAGCAAGGTAGATTTTTTAATTAATATTTACTTAGTATTACTTATTAAGGTTATAGTTCAAAAATTACAACTAAAACTAAATTCTAATATTGAATTATTTTTTAAATATTGTCTAAATACATAATATTTAGTTATTATTGTCATATAAAAAGAACTTTGTTACATTTTAAGAGCTTCTTACTTCACTCTTTGTAAATTCAAAAATAAGCATATATCATAGTAATTTACAATAACCTACAAAATATCAAAAAATAATATCATATATATAATAAAAAAATTAATTTTATAATTAGATAAATCACGTAATAAAATTTGAATAGAGAAATTTATTGTAAGTATTAAATCCTTAGATCACATGTAATATTTAGAAGACGTTTTTATATATAGTTAGTTAAAATCAAAGTATCATAAATTATAAATATATATATATATATATATATATATATATATAGATATATATATATATAGAGAGAGAGAGAGAGAGAGAGAGAAAGAGAGAGAGAATAGAGTATTGAAAATTTGAATTCAAATACTTCAATAATAATTAATTTAGAAAAAATAAAATAAAATGCTAACATTTTAAAATAATAACATTCTATAGCTTATTGATGCATTTTTCTAAGTTTTAGTACAATAGGCACAATAATAAACATGTCAAATTTCTAATTTTGATATACATGTTTCATGTCTAATTATATGTAACAAATTTCTTCTCATCAAAAAAAATTCATCAACTTTATTTAAGATAATTAATGGTTGTTTTTGTATTCATTGTATTATATATCAAAACAATTACTTGTATAGTTTAAGAATGGTTACAAATGCAAATAGTGATTATCTATCAATGAACCTTTTATTTATCTTTAAATTACTTAAAATTTACTTAAAATATTTTAAATTAATTATTTTAAATTATTAATATTTATATCAAATGATATGTGTTAAAAAAAAGTAGTGGTAAATTTTATTTTAATAGATCAAGATTAATACTTAATGTTTGAAAAAATAAAAAAAATAAAAAATAAAAAAAACTTTCTTTTTGCAAGTACAACAAGAAATAAGAAAAATAAAATATAAAATATGAAAAAACTAACAACATACAAGAAATCCAAATTTGACTTTATTAAACTTGAAATAGATTTGTAATTTTTTTTAAAGTAATTATTATTGCACTTTATAAATCAAATTGTGTTTTTATATTTAAAGCTTACAAAAAACATATATCTAACTCACTAAGAACACGCTAAATCTTGAATTGCAAAATTGCAATTCCATGATTTTACCAATACTACCAATACTCACAAATGCTGGTCATATATTTGAAAATTTGAGTTGCTTAACTTAAAAGCTAATTTTACAGTTCTCTAAATAAAAGAAATAAACAACTAATTAACAAATTTTCATTTCATAAACTACTTCAAGATAGATCTTACAATAACTTACAATTGCATTCATCAATACAAATTCAATAATTATTTCCATATTTGACCTCTAAAATATAATATTTCTAAATATAATCAAACACTAAAAAAATCTTGAAATATTAAAGATGTCAATTATTGAAACATACAAAAGTTTAGACATGCACATAAAATGTGAAAAAAAAAAAAACTATATAAAATTTGTAATTATATATATATATATATATATATATATATATATATATATATCTTTTAGAAAAAACAAATTCTATTTGAAGTTGGTAATAAGCTATGCTTACTATGTTATAATATTTTGTTAAACTAATATTATACAGAGCCAGATTTGTAAAATACTTGACCAACTCTAATTCAAAAATGTCAATGTAATTGTATATATGTTCCATATTTATAAATTAATAAAGATTTATCTTTTTTTCTACTATTTTGATAAACTTCATAAATCAATAATTATGTTGGAAAATATATGTTCATTATTACTTCTCATTGAAATATATTACAAAAAAAAATTAAGTATAAAAAGTCTTAGATTTTAAATAATACCAAAATAAACAAAAATATCTATATCAATTATATTTAAATGATATTTAAATTATATTTAAATACAAAATTAATAATTTTATTTTTTTTAAAGAATCAATTTTATGTAATATATTTAAGTTGCTATATACTTATAGTATTGAAATTGTAATTAAGATCCTAAAAAAAAAGACACAATCTTCAAAAAGTGTAAGGAATAAATAAAAATATGTTGGATAAATAATTTAGATTTTAAATACAAATTAATGACTATCTTTTTTAAAATTTAAAATTATATATCTTTTAAATGTGTTATAAAGAAATGATACCTCTTTTAGAAGTTTTTACATTTAAAAAACTATTTTTAAAGATTCTAAACCTTTTAATGCATTGCCTACAAGTCTTTTGAAAGTTAGTACTTGGTGGTTTTTTAAATATTATATATTATGCAAGATTGAGGGCATTTTTAAACTTATCAAAAAAATTCTTGTGTCTCAATCTTTGTTCAAAATTCTCTAGTTTTTATGTATGTTTCAATAATTATATAATTCCTACATGTATATAAGGGAATGTTAAATAGACCCAGGTTTTTATTAAATTGACTTGTCCATCATGAAGAATATGCTAATTATAGAGAATGTGATTGATTTTCATTTGTTTTGGATCCAATAGTAGAGAAATGAATCTAGATGTTATTATTTTATTTTATTTTATATTTTTTTTCATGATGGTTAAGTTGGATAGGTTAAGTTAATAAAAGCCTTGGTCTATTTAACATTTTCATATATATATATATATATATATATATATATATATAGTATTTATTACTTATATTTCTTTATATTCTTAATTAATTATTTTTGGTTGTAAATCATCATCACAAGAAAAAAATTAAAATGTTAATTCATCAACCATTTTTTATCCTTAATTATTTATTTAATTTTATTTAATCTACTTCTTATAAAAAATATTGTAAAAAAATATAAAAAATAAAACATGATTTTTAAATATAAAATATTTAAATAGAAGTAATTTATTTTTTTAGATTATTCTAATTTTTAAATTGTAAATGGTGATTTTTTTTATAAGGATTAAATTATATAGATTATCAAAATATTTTAAACTTTTCTATAATCTTTTGAAAGATTTTAAAGTCTCTCTTGTAAAATTTTCTTTATGTTTTAAATCTTAAAGTGTAATTAAGAGATAAAATTTAAATAAACTTATGTCAAGCATAGAAATCTTTAATTTATGTTTAAATATATTCATACCATTATTTACTTTTTGAAATCCTTAATTGATGCTTAAATTAAAATTTTATATATTTTTATAAGTATATGTATATATGTAATATCTAAATATTAATCAATAAATAAAATAAATTGTAAAGAAATAAAAGAAACGATTTTTTTTTTTTATTATCATCGAACAAAAAAAAAAAAAAATTCTTGAACTTATTACATAAAGAAGTGATGTCATACACATTTGAAAAAATATTTTTTTTACATATTTAATTATTTAATTTAAAAAAATTAATCATTTTATCATAGAAAATATAATAATTTAATTTTTTAATAAAAATATAATTAATAACTTGAACAAGTTATTTTTATTTATTACCTCATAGATAGTATGACTAGAAGTGAAAATAATTTTTTTATTAATTATTTATATTTGTATCATTTCTTTCTTTCTTTTATTTTTTACAAATTATATGTATATATATATATATATATATATATATATATATAAACAGAATTTTTTTAAATTTTAATACTTGTTTTTTGGATTACATAATAAATAATAAGTTGGATTATAAAGACTTAATTATTTGAAACTGATTTTAATAATAAATTTCAATTATCCTAATATAGGTTATTTCTTGATTCTCCAATAAAAACTTATAATAGCACAATAAAATTATAAATAAAGTATTTATAATGTTCTTATTAAACTTTGAGAGAGCGAGAAGGGAGCCGTGCAATGGAACGAAGAGGGGAATGGAGAGGAGAACGGCGCGCGCAACGGGGTTCTCAATTCGTGAAGTCAGGAGCACAGGGACTCTCCCGCTTCCCCGCGCGATACATTCTCTTAAGCGCTGCTGCTGCTGCCTCTGGCACCCATTCCCCGATCGCATCCATCGTCCCGGCCAAATTTTGCGACCTAATCACCACTTGGTACTCATTTCGTGGTGGGTCTTCGTTGTGCCTGGTGGGTTTTCGCTGTGGAGCGACGACAGTGGTGATAATCTCAGTGGGGAATCACCGCGTTTGGCTGTAGTCGGTGCCATCCCTGCGGACTCTTAATTTGCTCGTGTAGGTTTTGGGTTTTGCTAATAACATTGAGATAGGGATTGTCGGTGTTATATATATATATATATATATATATATATATATAAAAATATATCAACAATTATTTTTCTTTTCTTTGCGTCTTATGGGTTTAGTAAGAAGGTAGATGATTTACCCTTGCTGAAGACGCGACTTGAAGAGCAGGGGCGTGGTATGATGCGATAGGGTAGGGGTTTGCGCAATCGGAGTGGTGGTGGAGGAGGAGGAGGAGGAATGCAGGATGCGATGGAAGGGTTGTAGAGATTTTGGGGGCCAATTTAGGTTGTAGGGATGTCATGCCAATTGCAGCCGGGGGCGGAGGGCTCGCTTTCCGAGTCTGTGCATTTCCCTCCGACCAGCAGTTTCCTCGAGCACCAGGGGTACCAAGGGGACGTGAGGATGGGAATGGCGCCTCCTCTCTCGTCTTTCTCCAGGGCACCGCCTCCAAGGTCCCCTTTTTTGCACGACGATGGGAGAGCAGGATCGCGTTACGTTCACAGCGGGGGTTTTGATAGGCAGGGATACGATTACGCTGTGCACAGACACAGTTGCGGTGACCACCTCGAGTTGCATTCCGGGTCTTTGCTGGAGCACCTGTTGCTGCAGGAGAATCAGAAGGCTCTGCGAATTGCAAGTCTTGTGCAGTCACAAGCCTCCGGATGCCTTTCTGGATGTCTTTCATGCGGACTAGGTGAGAAGAGGTTGAGGTATAAGGACTCTGAGGAGCGGATGGTCGCAGACCAGCGGCATTGTTGCCCACGTAGTGTTGGCGAGGAGCCCTCTAGGTCAGTGAATTTAGGCGCGGAAGCGGACCCTGTCGAATGCGCAGATGAATGGTTCCGACAGCCGCGTCCTCGTGAATCTGTTGGGGGTGTTGGAGAGCGTAGTCAGGCTAAGATTTCTTTCTTTGAGGACGAGCTTGGACGTTCGCTTTGTCAGGTAAATGGTCGCTGTCCTCACTACTGTTGAGGTATAAAATCACAGTGAATAGCGAAATTATGATGATTTAAACTGTTTGCTACTATGTTCGATTATAACACTCCCTGCAATGGGGCTTGAATAACTGCATGTCTAATTTTTCTTTTGCCATGTCTCCTTTCTCTCATGCTGTTCGCCCTCCCTTTTAGCTGGGTGCATAATAGGAATGCCATCGTATCTTCAAAACACGACACTCTGATTGGATGTATTACCTGTTGCTGATACCAGAGTGCTATCTCTTCGACGTTTTTGCATGTCATAGAGGGCTAGGGGCTCCTGCTAATACGGCACGTTAGAATCTAGTTCTCAGCATTTCGGAATTATTTAGGAGAGATTTTGTAATGGAAAAACGGAGGTTTTCTGTGGAGAAGTAATTTAAGGCCTCATTCGTAGGAGAAGAAATTGTTAGGGGATGGGGTCGCGAGTCTGTTATTTGGTTTTACGAGGTCTCAAGAGGAAAAGAGAATGAAGCAGGTTGGTTGCTTGAGCGGCGAGAAAACCTGTGAACATAACAAAATTGACGGATGGCTTAAAATCTTCTTTCATCTACCAGGAGAGGCGAACCGTATTTCCAGTTTCCCGCCCAGTGCTGTCGCATTCACAAGCAAGTCACCACATACACGACCACCAGGATCATCTTGTTGGGGCCCAAGAGAGCTCTGTGCCTATATATGGCTTCAGCGATGGTGATGGTAGAGTTCGACAAAGATGGCCGAGTCAACGACCGGCTTACTCAGGGAATGGCGTCGAGGTAGATGGCTGGCAAAGAGCAACTAGGTCCGTGTCGAGGGTGGGATCAGTAACCGCGACTGAGCAGGTCTGTGTAACCATAATGATTTCCTGCCTGAACCATTCTTGAATAGTTCTTAACTTTGACCATTCGATATAAGTAGGAGTTTTAAAATAGATCGAGGGACTAGTGTGGTAGAATTGCCGGCATTGGTTTTCAATTTGGAAGGCATGCAAGGTTCATTCTGATGGTGCATACTTATGTTGGATGCGCGCAACAAGTGCCAGATATGTAAGTGCATGTGAACGGTCAGCAAGATAATTCATTTACCCTTCTCATGGCATGTGTGCTCTACATGGCCTCATAGGACCGCCTGTCGTTGCCGGATATAGCAGCAGGGTCATTGCCTACAGTCTTGGTCGGAAGCCCTCATAGGCCAGTTGGAGATGCCAGTCGTCCAACGCAGAGTGCACGTACAACTTCTCAAAATCTACTGAGGATGTCGAACTCTGTGGAACCCTCGTCTCGGGACAAGCCTCTTCAGGAGGCGAGTACTCAACGGGTGGTCACCCAAGGTCCAGTCTCATTGACTGGCTGGTACATCATGAAGGTTCAAACTGCTGACGTTGGCAGGTAGTAGTCACTGTTTATTCTGCTGCGTTCAAGTCTACTAATGTCCCTAGATTAGCTCATAGAACTTGCTAATGTTTTGCTTAAAGCATATGTTGGTAACGTGTACAAGACTACTGGCTTTTAATCCTTTTATTATTCTGCTCAGAGTGGTGGAGACGAAAGTCGCTGTAGGAGGTCGGCTTGTACAGGGTGGAGAGCATGTCAAAACTTCCCCCATCGTGAATCGTTTGGATTTCCATAAAGTTGTTACAGAGGATGGCGTTGAAGTGTCTCTGGAGGGCAGTATGGACTTGGAGACTTCAACTGCAAATGGTTTTTCTCCTGGAATTGTTCAGTGTTTGTGTAATGGTAAGTGAAGTAGGAGATTTTCCGTGCATGTTATGTAGTCTGTGTGATGCTTCAGCACATAGCACACGCTCTACTTTCTTACATCCTGGTGCAATCCATTGCGAAGTATTCCATGTTGCCCCTGTGGGAATAATGTTATTTTTATATTTTTGTACTGTTGGCAGGTTTTCCCTACATGTGGAAGCAACTTTTGAGAGTGAGGCCTGTCGGGATGTCTTCTAGCTTGGCTGTAAGCGAGAGCGTCGGAGGCCTTCATCCAGTAGCCTCTAAGTGTGTCTCAGAGGACGAGAGCCAGGGTGTTGTTGATCCAAATATCTGTAAGACAATTCCGAAGGGCATTCCAGGTGGTTCAAGAGATTGTGAGGGTAACAGTACAGTAGGTAAGATTTGTTCTTCCTGCAGATTTTTAGTTCTTAATCCTGGTTCCACGAATCCTTGTTGTATCGAGTCAATTGTGAGCATGTGTCGATTAAATTTTCGATTCGGTGAGTCCAGACGGATACATTATGTGTAACTCTCTATCAACTGTGTGTGCTATGGTCATGTCTAGGTGATGTCGGCTCTGATGCAGTTGCTGCTGTCGATGAGCCTTCGGTAATTCAAAGGATTGCATCAGATGCAGTTGGGTCAAAGAGAGTGGAAACAGAGGCAGTAGTCACTGCAGGGGCTGAAACATCAACTGCGGTTGAGACGGAGCCAGTGGACCCAGGAGGCGTGGAGAGGTGTGAACCACCAAATGCATTTGAGATAGAGGCAATGATACTAGGAGGAGGAACTACTGTGAGGGATGAACCACCGAATGCAGATGGAAAAGGGACAGTGGAGCCAGAGGGGGAGGGCATTGGAAGGGCTAATACATCAAATGCGATTGATGAGGGTTGTCCTCTCGATGTACCGTCGCAACAAGCATGTGATCCTTGTCCAACCAACTTCGATCCTGTTCCAGTTAGTAATCCACTTGACACTGATTCCTTGGGTAAAGAAGCTGAGAGTGGTCCAACTGTCGATACGACCTTTGTTACGATGCGAAGAGGTCGTAAGAATAAGAAGGGTCCTCCACAACCAGTTCGTAGCAGTGCACGACTACAGCAGCGCCGGACAAAATCGGCTGAATCTATGCCCAATTTATTTAAGTCTTCAGGCCCTGCTCAAGTAGAACAAGTCACAGTTAGTGGGGAAGTTACTAGAGACAATTCTGGAGAGCAGGAACTTGGTGAAATCTTGCCAGATGTACAGCGAGCTGCAAATGGACGTGAAAAAATAACCAGGACTAGTGATATCATTGGAGAGGTTTTGAAAGATCTGCAAGAAGAGGATATGGAAGCTGCAAATCAAGGTACGCGAGGTTTTCCTGGGTCAAAATTGACTTGCAAAGAGCCTGCTGAATCTATTCTAGCAATTTGATTTAACAGCCTGTTAGCAAGCCATTGATAAATCTAGGACATCATGCAGTCAGATAACGTGCAGAATTGTTTTTGAAATGAATGATAGGTGGAGTTCCTGGAGCAGGTTTTGTCGGCATTGTTGTTGATCCACAACCAATACAAGTGGAGATATCAGTGCAGGTTCAAGATTCTGGTAAAAACCTCTTGAAAGACAGGGATGATGTTGAGGTTCCTAAGTTGAATGAGAATGATGCTACCGAGGACAGGATGGAAATCGAAGAGAATAAAGAGATGGCTCCTGCCGCTTCTTCCGACTTTGAAAATGAGAAGAGTGAAGAGACAGCCCAGGCAGCTCCTGCAGCTACTTTCAAGTTGGTAAATGAGGAAATGGAAGAGGCGGCTCCTGTGACTCCTCCTGAGTTGATCCAGAGAAAGGTACAGTCGCGAGTCGATTCTCGTTATAAACCCAGTTCTGAAGCTTTGCCACAAGCAAGCGAGGAACGGGTGTCTCCTGAGCTCAATGCCCGTATGACACGGTCATTGAAACGGCGACTGAGACTGTCTGCGATTTCAGAGCCAGTAGCTGATGTTGCCCCTGTTACTCGGTCTTCAAAACGTTTACGAAGACCTGTCCCAGAAAGTAACTCAGAACCCTCCATTTCCCACCAAGTGGGGGATCCGCTTGTGCAGCCAGTTTCTAATCCGGACCTCTCCCATCAAGTGGAGGGCCCAAGTATGGAACCGATTTCCAATCCTGTGACACCCCACCACGGAGAGGTGAATGGTTTTCATGCGAGAGTACGAGACCTCAGCACAAGACGTGCAAAAGCTGTCAATTGCTCCAACTGCAAGAAACCATGCTCATCTCAGGAAGTAATCAAGTATAAGAATCGTATCGCGAGCATTGGAGCTACTCCCGAGCACGCGGTAGAGAGAACTATGAAGACGGAACAGGAGGAATATCCGCCATTGGAACCTCAGCGCACTGAAAGCACCCCTGGGACCTCTTCGCTGCCCAAAAAAGGAGAAACGAACACCTCTTCTGCGAAACGTCGAAGTGGTCGCCCAAAGAAAACGAAGTCTGCTAACCTGCCTGCAGAGCGACGAACAACCAGAAGACTAAAGCTAGATGATTCAGGGGAAGGGCCCTCCGAAGGTCATAATCCAGTTCCAAGCAAGCAAAGTTCTCGTCGAACGTCCATAATGCCCCCTCCATTACCTTCTCCTCGTGTGCAGGGCGGCTTGAAAGGTAAAGTCCCTGAAGCTTTTGGCTTGAAAACATCTCGGTCAGGACGGCTGTTGGTCCCTGCACTGGCTTATTGGCGGAGCCAATCTATTGAATACGATAAAGACGGCGGCATTATTGCAATATTTGACGGTTTCCAGGCGACACCATCTGATACTGGGTGTTTTAATTTCACCCCTCCTCAAGAGAAGCATGCAAAGAAGATACAAGAGAAGCTTTGTAAGGCGGCAGCAACAGTTAAAAAACGCAAGTAAGTTATGCGGTTACTGTGGAGGTGTAAATCCAGATACATGCAATATGTTTCAAGACTAGTTATGTTTGTGTGCAAATTTTAGATTCAATGTCCAGATCATTTTGCTGAAGCTTCTGCATGTCCCTCCTGTAGTTGAATTTATGTTTATGCTCAAAACTAAGTGTGGGCAAGGGACTTGGATTCTTGAGATGTAAAAATAAAGTTGTCTCTGGTCATTGTTGTGGGCTTTCTCCAAGAACCCTCATTACTGTCACATAGTTCAGGTCATGTTGTAAGGGAAAATCAGACTAGTGGTGAGCTTGAAGGTGTCGAGCACAACTTCTGAAGTTGAATTACTTTTGTGCGTAGATAATATTGCAGATGATCACAATTATTGCAGAATTTGTTCTTTCGGTGCAATAGCACCCTTGCTGTATAGTGAGTCGTTCCACCTAAGTTGTTTGTAGCTTCCGAAGGTGATCTGTTCACCACATTTCATCTTCGGGACTTTTAGAAGGTTTATTAGTAGGATCTTCGGTGGCAGCTAATTTACTGAAACAGTAGAAGCAATTTCATGCGTCCTCATTTAACTTCAATACTCAGAAGCTTCAGCACACAAGGAATCAGAGTGATGACCTCCTTCTATCAAATCCTATTTTTGGTAAATAGGATTTGAAATGTAAAGTTGCAAACATGTACCTTGTCATATGAGACATGTAATAGATGAATGTACCAACTAGATCTTATCCTGGAAGATGGAATGGCCAATGACTCCTTTGTTTCTTGAGGTAAAAGACAAATTCGAAAAAGTATAAAATCTCCTTGGAACGAGTTTCTGTGTAGTTACCACATCAACGTTTTGAAATACGCGAGTTAGATGTTGCACGTCGGAAAAGAAAGATTTTAAACAAGGATTGGATACACCAAAATAAGGCGAGATATTGGTATGGCTATGTCAAGATACAAGAAGACCTGAAAAGAACAAAATAAATAAAACTCAACGGCATTATACGATCCTAAGATTGTTGAAACTTTTGTTTTTGAATTATCTGTAATCCATTTTTTTCGTAGAGTTCTTCCTTGATTTTTGTGAAACAAAAAACTGTTGTAAAATGTTCACTTTGAATAATTTGTTATATCACTTCATTGTTCAGTATCAATTGTACTGATATTATTTCCTTTTCTACAATCTTTTGAATTATTACTTTTTGGGGAATATCCAAAATTCATTAAAGGGTGCGGACAAAATGGTTTCTACAGCAAATTATGCCCCATTTTTGTCTTCTGCGGTGTTACCCTACACAAGGGTTTAAGTCCCACAGTAGTGAATCTGCAGGAGGAAAACAACGCTTGAAGAGCCTGCAGAATGCTAAATCTGGCTCTTATAAAACTAACATCGGTCTTCTGAGTAAACTGGCATCTAGTCCCTCTGTATGTACATGTTAACAGTGGTCTCGACCTATGTCTGTGATGTACTGTGACAATCCTCAAAACGTGATGTCTATGAGTATGGCCGATTGGAAGCCGATCCTCGGTAATTGGATGGGCTGAAGCAACAAAAACCAAGCTCAACCAAGAACCGAGCCATGTTGTAACAACACCAAGTGAAGAACATGAACACAGCAATGCCCATGCTTCCCAATGAGAACCACAGAAAAACGAAGGAGCCCAACGCAGCTGTCGACCATGCTAACACCATGTGGGCAAAGGAGAGGGGTAGGAACACAAACATGGCTGTCAGAGCCCATGTTAGTTTGCCCAAGTCCCACAGCTTACGCTCAATCATCCTTGGGATATGCTGGATGATGAGAGACGTGATGTGTGATACCTGTGACACGAGAGGGAGTTCAGGATAATCTGATATAGGCCTTGGAGGAAGAACCTCCGTGGGCTTGTGTGTCGAGGATGAGCTGATAACTCGAAGGAGAATGTAGTTTTTAGGGAGCTCTTGAAGGCCACGCCAGACGCAAACCCCCCGGCATTCTGGGCAGCGGACACATCGTTGGCCCAGCCCTGACTCGAAGAGAAGTTGCTGCAGGCATACCTGGGTTCCATATAGATTTTTGTGTTATTTTGTTTTGCACGTACCAAGCATTCATCATGGTGTAGTGATGATTACAAAGTGATCATAAACGAACAACGGGTGCAACTGAGTTTAGTAGTTTCAGCATTAATTGTAAAATGATCAATCTTCTCTCTATTTTCTTCCTCCCCCCACCCAAATGGTATGAGAGAGTAAGTTGCTTCATTGTTGAAAATTAGCGGAGCTGGCAACGCAATATGAAGATGATAGCAATTCTACAACTTATTTTTCCATACCTGACAAATGGTGTGTCCACAATGTAAGAGACGCGGCATTCGTGGTCCATCATCAAAACCATCCCAGCATACTGGGCAGTCAGGTAGCTGCATTGATGACTTTTGTTTCGATTGAGACCTTTGTACTAGTTCTCGTTGTTCCATCTATTCCTTCGGATCTACTCAGCACCGATCAGACAAACCATTGCGTTAAAATGTAGGATTATACATAGTATGCTCACATAAGAGAAACAATAGAAGCTTCAGAATAAGCTTTGACACATTATATGTTGGCTGAACCAGTCGAAAAACCTTTACAATTCAAAATACTGATCAAGATAACCACTTAGAATATGGAAGGATGATGACACTAACCATTTATCACCTAAGCTATACGCTGTAACCCCGAGACCTGTTACGTTGCATATGAAGTGAAGTTACAAAATACTATAAAACGTGACATCATTCGCTGGCCTATATTGTGAAAAAAAAAAAACAAAAAACCCAATGCCAGTGACAAGAGACATAAAGACCCAAAGAACTTGAACAATTCAGAAAGAAAGTTAGAACCCAAATCGAACGGTCTGTTTACATGTCCAGATAAACTATTGAGCAGCAGAAGACGTAGCACATGAACCCTTACAGTCAAAACCATTCATGTGAAGAATGGGCGGCAACGCTAGCAAGTGTGGCAGACGAATTTCACCATCCAGATCTTCGGTCCATGATGCTCTCCCATTCAAACGACAAACGTTAACGCGAATACTCTGCTTTTTCTACTTTTAAAGCGGTCAGCACACTGATGGAATGCGAGTTTCGTTCGTGATTAAATTGAAACACACCCAGAACCACTATTATAGCCGTCAAGATTGCAAGCCTGGATATGTCACCGATGAAAGCTTCACGCTGTGCATGACATTCATATCATCAAGTTCAGCAACAACGTCAGGTTCTCCGCTTCCTCAACAGACACTTTGCAGTGTTATTCGAAACTTTGAAAAACGGTGTAAATTGCACTGCCAAGTTCTGTCGTAGGAAACCTTCAAAAACACAGACGCGACGCAAAAAAATTGCAAATTCTGTAGGGAAACTTCAGGGAACAGCAGAACGAAGACAACAAGACCTAACAACTTCCAAGCTACACCTACAGAAGGGGGCAGACACCACTTCGAATGCGCCATGTCAAGACGAAATTTCAAAAAATCGCGATGATTCCTCCACCCATCCAACTACTACCAAAACCTCAACGCACATCATCATAGTAAACCCAGTTCAATTTTCAGATAAAATCACGAAAACCCGCCTCGGCTCTTCCACGAAACTCTAAAACCGTCACCTGTCATCACATCCTCTCAATCAACACCATTTTTCCTCGATTCAAGCCCAAAACTACACCCAACTCCATAACATCCCCCTAACTTCCCACAAGAAAGTTTACTTTGACTAATTGTAACTCAAACGAACCGGATCAGCTCACTTCATGCATCCCGATCCTGAAAACCCACTGCACGACTTCGTCACCGGCAAAAATCATCAAACACACCACAGTTTACAAGCCTGTGGGCACCGAAACTCAAAACACAACTTGGACCACAATAGAAGAGATTGAGCTGGACGAAGATGGGGTTGGCAACAAGGCGTGGAAGGAGCTAAAGAACTCGGTGCAACGCCGAAAATGGGGCGAAGAGACAACATCAAATTAGACCCCCGAAGATCAAATTTTGCGGTCCCGAAGAAGATGAGTCTTCATGACGACGATGGCGCGACTGGAACTGCCGACGAGTCAGGGCTCGGCACCTTTAGGGGTGCTCGGTCCACGTGGCTGACGACGCGGCATTGAAGCCATGCCGATACCTGACCCGGATGACGTCCTATCCGGGTACGCACCTAGTCTGCACCGACCGGGTGTGAACCCCTGTATTTTACCAACCGGGTATGATTTCCGTATCTTATCGGTGCATCAACAGGGCATTAACTCTCTATATTGGCCTGCGTCGAAGATTTTTCCGAGTGTGGGTTTGTTCTTACACTTATCAAAATAAGGACGTGGATAAAGTTCTTACATTTATTTTTATTTTTAATTAATTATTTATTATATATATTTCTATTTGTTTTTATTTATTTTATGTTTTGCAGTCTTGTTGAGTTTCTGTCAATAGTTTGGATAATACTCAATTTCTGTATATTCTTTCAGCATAGATTTTTAAAAATTACTATTTTATTTATTAATTTATTTAGAGTGTCAAATGGAGTGTTCTTCCTGAGTTTTTGAATGATATAACTTTGAAAATTAGTTTATGTAATTTCTGGAAAGATTATCTTTTCATGTATTTTATGGAACATGTTTTAAACCTTGTTTTGATTTTAATACAATATGTCATTTAAGGATATGCATCATGAACGGAATGTTTTGCGACGTTTTGAAATTTGCCTTAACGAATATGGATGATTTGATTTTAGGAAGTTTGATTTTAACAACTGATGTATTCTTTTGATATTTCGATATTATTAAATGTAAATATGTAACATAAAAAATGCCACCTGCAATTTGATAAGAAACACTTTTAGTGTATTTTTTAATGTGTGGTATTAATATATATATATATATATATATATATATTTTTAAATTGATTTTCTCACTTTACATTTTGGAATAATTTCTAATGAATTTGTATGGCAAAAAAAGCCATTTTCTAAGTTATTCATAGGCACCATCAAATTGATTCTAACACAAAATCAAATAAAAAAAAGATTAAACAACTATTGATTGAATTTACTCAATTAATATTTATTTCAATTAAATTAAATTAAAACATAAAATATACGAAATGTAATAGTAACAAAAAAAAAAAAAAAAAAAAAAAAAAAAAGAAGAAGGATACAAATATAAAAGCTATAGAATACACATACATAAAATAAAATATAAATTTGGTATAAATTTGAAATAATATTAATTCTTTTTTATTTATCAATGTATATATATATATATATATATATATATATCATGATACATATTATTAAAAATTTATAATCATTATTTTGATTTATTATTAAAAATGTTCTTTTAGCTATAAGCTGAGGTAATATCTAAATTTTTTTAAATAAATAATTTATTCTATTTTTGATAAATTTAATATTAATAAAATTTTATTTTTGAAAATATATATTTTAATAATATATTCTAATCAAAATAATTATGAATTAATTAGTTTAGATTATAAAATTCTATCATGAAAATTAAAAAGTATTATTTACTGTAATCTAATATTTAACAAACGTGTGATTATCAAACGTATTTAACTTGAATTTTATTGAACCATAATTATATGAATTTATCTATCTTAGGGCGCAAGACTTAATATAATACCAATCTGAAGTAATTCTCAAGAATTGTGTAAAGTATTAGTATATAAGCACAATAGAAATTTTCGTAGAATGTTGTAGTTGTTGTTGAAGATAGAAATAGTATTCTAACTATTTATCTTTTATGATAGTTTGTTGAGAGAAATAGAAATTAACTATGTAAATTGATCCATAGTAAAGTACATTTAACTTTTAAAACTGATCACAATATAGTATATTAAAAAAATATTTTTTTCTTTTAATTATATATTCTTTATTTTATATTGCAATTGCATGATCTCTAAAAAAATATTGCAAATTTTATACTAATACATTATAATAATAATTATTAATTGCAATCCAAAAATTGAATTTAAGTAAGATCATAATATCAATAGATTCATAACAAAAAAAAAAAAAAAAAAAAAAAAAAAATCTAAGCAGATAGTAGAGAGCAACAAAATCTCATTTATTCTAAGATTAGCAAGATATCATCTTTGTATCTACTTCAAAGAATTACAAATAATTATTTTTAGTTTTTAGTTTTTATGTTCTATCTATCAAAGTGTTGATGTTTATGGAGTTTAATATATATATATATATATATATATATACACATACATACATACATACATACATATTTATTGATTTTTTTATAAGTATTATTATATAAACAAAATATTTTTAGTATATTCTAATTTTCTAAATTTTTGCATAATTACTCCATTCTTAGATTGTTAGTAGAATTTCAAAAATATTATTATTTCTCTCCATTTAATATATCTTTTTGTAATTAAAAATTTAGGTATAATAGATCTTCACAAATTAAATATGGTGCTACTCCAAATTTAGTATAAATTGGAAATTTTGACACTCTTTTATAATAATATTAATCCAAAAAAAGTAAAATAATTGCAATGAATTTGGTTAGTGAATAGCACATAGAACCATATAAATTCCAAATAGAGTTGTCTAATTTTTTGTGGCTAACAAAGAAGAAAACTTTTAGAAAAGAATGTAAAAAAATATTAGTAGTTTATTCTCTTGCTTTATTTAATACATAATACATTCACCAAATATTGTCCATCTTGTTACTCCACCTACTTTTTTTAAGTTCTTGAAGATTTTTCTTTGTTTCTGTTATTTATTTATTGCTACTACCACCACCTAATGTATTTAATAGGAGATGTCAAATGAAGAAAATGTATTGATAAAGTTTTAATAATCAATAAAATGGCCTATAACACTTTCAATGCTAAATCTATTAATAATTGCAACTTGTTGTGAAGAAAATCAAAAAGTAGGATATAAGTTGCAAAAACACCTTAACAAACAAAGACAAAAATTTCCTCATAAGGCTACTTCTGGTCTAATTTAGAAGGCAATGAAACAAATTTTGCAATTGAAACAAAGATATTCTAAAATGAAATCAATTTTTCCATTCAATTGCTATTTTTTCATCACCCACAAAAAGTTTCTTAAAAAATGTACCAAATAACATATTTCTAACCTAACACCCACAAAAAATACATCCATTGGTCATTGTTGATGTAATTGTTCCTATTTCCAAGTCTTAAGAAGCATTTTCTCCCATTTTATCACTGTTATAACCCATGTGGTCACTCCTCCTGCCTAATTAATTATTAAGTTTTTTGTGGGTTTAGGGTTTAATCTCCAGTCTTGATAAGGTTCCATTCCTTCACTCACCAGCTTGGCACCACCTTTCACGGCGGAGTTACCGACACTGCAGCCGCTGCACCAAACTACTACTACTATTGCTGGATCGTCGATGGGGTAGAAGTTTGTGAGCCCTAGAGATGAAACAAGCGGGCAGCAGCAGTAGCCGCAGATTTTGGTGGGTCCAGGAAGAAGAGCCGCAAACTGCCAGGCTTGGTAAAAGAAAGAAAAACAAAAAATAAATAAAAAATAAAAAAGCTGGCAAATCAAATCGAAGGCCGAGGAAACGATGCATGCAGGGGGCCGCGGCTGATTTCAAATGATTGAAAAGGAAGGGGAGAAAAATGGGTGCGTGGGGAGAATGGGGTTTCAGCTTGTTTGCTTGAATTGCTCCAGCTTAAACTTTTTTGCGAGCCTCGTAAATCCTCGTCCAACTGGGTGGTTAGTGTCGTATTCTCCATGAGACGTCGCAGCCTCCAAGGTCCTCCGTGACTGGACTCATTTGATGTCCTTTGAGTCATTTGTTAGCAGGCTCCTCCACTGGCCAGAATTTGTAGCGGAGGCGGAGGACTTCTGAACCCTAGGTTTACAAACACCTTCAGCGCGTGCGAAAGTGATATCAACAAGGTTTCAGAATAAGCATTGTCAATCTTCCTCTTCCTAAGAACTGCGGTGCCTCACTTGTCCCCGAAATGAGGTACAACTGCGACAATATGAGTCCAAGATGTGTTGGGGTCGAGAGATCTAATCGACAATCCAGCGTTCTAGCATTACGTCTCTTACCCTAACCCTAATCAGATCCGACGAGGATTCCCTTGCATCCATAACCCATGCATAAATTGGTTCTCCTGTCGATTGCCAAGCCAAGCTTGCACAGTGCATATGAATAACATGAGGTAGAAAACTAGCGAACCCCAATGGCAAAAAGAGCACCAAATTCATAGCTACGTGTCGTGAGGGGTAGCGGGATGAGAGGGGGTTCCTTGTAAGAATTGGTCAGTTCGGTGGAGGACTCCTAGAACGACGCGTTGCACCGATATCTTCCTTGTCTCCACATCACTTGCAACAATTTACTTCACCTAAAATTCATTGCTCTTAGAAGCAAACCAACGCAATTTTTACGTCTACGCTTAAGTGAAAAGGGCTCATGCACTCACGCACGCACCATTTTTTACCCACAGGATTAGCTCCCCATGTCATTTATCGAGCTGAATCCTTATGTTCATCAATGATAACTTTGCTTTCAACAAATGATCAATCAAGTGGATATTCGAAAGGGTTTCTGTACTGCAGTTCTTATTTAAGAATTTGTGGTTCCATTTTAAAGAGACAACAAATAGAATATAAGAAAAAAAGCAATGTTGCAGAGACCTCACGAAGCCTGACGTAGCCTCGGTAAATTCGGTGTCGTTCCAAGGAACCGAGAGGATGCTGCAGTGAAACTGGACAATGGCAGGCGGAGAAATGTAGAAACCGGAAGAGTTGGGAAAAAGGACATCACCTGTGGAGGCATCCCGTTCGGTCGAATTCCCAATAAAGAATATCGTTCGATAGGATATCCCTTCAGAAGATCAGAAAAGTGAGAGACGAGCAAGGCAAGGGGGAAAGGCAAGGGAAAGGCAAGGGAGAGTCGAGGGCGAGACAAGAGACAAGTGTACACATGGACCCAAGAGGGCCCTAGACTCTCAAACCAGGTCACAGCTGCGTAGCGGCGAAACGACCCACGCTAAACCCCCGGAACGAGGCATCACATCCCCAATATTCTCTTACGACAGGCAACCCTGTTCAATTCCTCAACTATATGTACATACTCCTACTCTGGGACCATCCTCATCGGTTACCACGACCGATGCCACGTTAGTGCCTTCTTCTTTTTGTTCCACACAACTACCTCGAGGAAGAGTGGGTTTGGGAATTGGATTTGTGACCGAGTTGTGGAGAGTTGTTGTAGTCAGGTGCTGTGAATTGGGTGATTGCTGCGCTATGGCGGCTCTCAAGCAAGCGGCCAGTCTATGGGGAGTTCGAGGCGGCACCAAGTTGGGTTCGGTGAGCTCGGTGTCGAGGAGCGCCTCGTTAATGTCGCCCACTTCGTTGAGTGCGACTGCGAGGAGTTACCGAATGGTTGCTGTGCGTGCTGCAGTCTCTGGTAATGAAAATGCAATGTAGGTTTTGTTGGTGGAGTGATTTCTCCGAAAGAATTCATTTGTGGATTTGAGGGTAACAAAGCTTTTGTGTTTTTTCTGTTGTGGGTTTGTGTTGTATTTTGGTTTTTGGTCGGCAGAATTTGTTGGGGTTGAGCGATCTGGAGTTACTTATAATTGTAACACTTTTTTTTAAATTCCCAAACAGGTGGAAAGTCTGTGAAGCTTGCGCAAGAGTCGTCAAACGATGAGACAATCAAAAGTATTGAGCGTGTGATCACCCAGGACGAGTCTCCCAAACCTGGTTTCCTGAATGGGAGTGCAGTTTCGACTGAGACCACGGTTTCTATCACTGTCGTGGGCGCTTCTGGAGACTTGGCGAAGAAAAAAATCTTCCCAGCTTTGTTCGCACTCTACTACGAAAATTGCTTGCCTAAGGTTTGTATTAGTATTTGGGGGAGTCGTAGTAGCCATTTTAAATAACAGAGTTGCAGGTACTCGTTGAGTACGTGGGCCTTCTTTTTTTGTTCGTTTTTTCACCTCCAGACTATTAAACTTATTTATTTATTTATTTTTACAGCATTTTACTATATATGGATTCGCAAGAAGCAAAATGACGGATGAACAGTTGCGAGAATTGATCTCGGGAACATTAACATGCCGAATTGATCGAAGGTAAGCCACTTGTATTTGGTGGAGGCTATTCAGACCAATCCATTGTCGCTGCAAAAAGGTATTTTAGTAAGGCGCTGATTGTGATGACGATCAATTCCGGTTCTTGAGAGAAAACTCTTAACATTGCCATATTGTGATTTAAACAGAGAAAACTGTGGTGACAAACAAGAGGAGTTTCTGAAGCGCTGTTTCTATCACTCTGGGCAGTACAGCTCTGAGGACAGTTTCAGCGATCTTTCTAAAAAACTTCAAAAAGAAGAGGTTTGTGGTTTGTTTTGCTCGTTTTGTGGACAAACTCATGAACGTAAGTTTAGCTTTCAGGCTTACATATGTTTTGGAATTTGTGAGCTTCAGTAGTATGGATGTATCCGGCTTGTGGCTAGCTCTAGCTCTGAAGGAGGAATTTGTTTACACTTTTTGCTGCTGGTTCCATAAGTATGAGTTATTGCAGCATATTACAGATTTTCCCTCCCTCAGAAAGATAGAAATCACCTGGTTTGTGACGAACGTGTGTCTTTGGAGAAAGACTAAATTTGGTGACGGGGTCGTTATGACAGGGTGAGAGGGTGGCGAACCGACTATTTTACCTCTCTATCCCGCCTGATATCTTTGTTGACGTGGCCCGGTCGTCAAGTTGTGCCGCATCGTCGAAAAATGGTTGGACTCGTGTCATCGTGGAGAAGCCATTCGGTCGGGACGCGGAATCTTCATCAGAGCTTACAAAGGGCTTGAAGAAGCATCTGAAAGAAGACCAAATTTATCGGTACGTTTCTCCAGCTTGCAAGTGGGAGAATATCGTAAGATTACCAAGTATCACTAGTTACAGTTGTCTAGCCACTACCACGCATGATGTTGGTGGTGGCTCTGTTTAACTCTTGATGGCCGCATTCGTGCAACTTCTGTATTATTTTTCGACACTTAACTATGTTGCGACATACATCATGTGTTTTACCTTGCAGTATCGATCATTACTTGGGAAAGGAGCTTGTGGAGAATCTGTCAGTGTTACGGTTCTCCAACCTTGTCTTTGAGCCTTTGTGGTCACGCCAATACATCCGCAACGTGCAATTTATATTTTCTGAGGACTTTGGGACAGAAGGACGTGGAGGGTAAGAACGCCTCCTCAAGAATGATCACGTAGGAGTTTATTGACTTTCCATTGGTCACTAGTTTACAGTATTGTGGTTGTAATAACCTCTACTTCCCTAAGAATATGTAATCAATGTAATTTTATCACTATGCAAGAACTATGTAGGAATCGCAGTTGAATCTTTTCATTTTCAATACGACATTTTTTTGGCGAGTTCAGCAGTATACAAAAGTGAGGTGAAATTTGTTTTCCATTTGAAGTGATTGTTGGACTTTTGGCAGACGCTGTGGAATCTAATGATTAATCATGAATGGTTTCTGTTCTCGCTGGGCATACAGGTACTTTGACAATTACGGTATTATTCGTGATATTATGCAAAATCATCTTTTGCAAATTCTGGCTTTATTCGCTATGGAGCCCCCTGTTAGTCTGGATGCTGAAGATATACGAAATGAGAAGGTATTTCTTCATCTGCTACCAGCTTGCGTTTGTGCCGTTTTCGGTACGGTTTGATGTCCTGTAAGTGATATTGGACTTGCCTATCTAGCTGATGCTGCTAATTAGACTCAACTGATATTATTTACAAGGAACCAATGCACTTCAGATGTCCTGATCTTTTGAATTCTTAAAGCTCAGTTCGTTTTTATTTTTATTTCCTTTTTGGTCACGAATCATCTTCCTTCTTAGTTGTGTTATTTCCATATCTCGTGTGAAGTTATGCTCTGAGACACTGGCTGTTTGTTTGCAGGTGAAGGTTCTTAGATCCATGAGAAAATTAGACATTGATAATGTGGTAGTAGGTCAATACAAGGGGCACACTCGAGGTGGCGTGAAGTATCCTGCCTACATAGATGATAAAACTGTCCCGAACAACAGCATTACACCTACATTTGCTGCAGCTGCCCTCTTCATTGATAACGCACGTTGGGATGGAGTTCCCTTCTTGATGAAAGCTGGCAAGGCTCTGCACAAAAGAGGGTGAGGTTTTTGCGAATTTGAATGCTTGGCTAATGATCAGAAGTGGCCAATGTAAAAGTTCCTTTTATGCGACTGAATTGGGATGCTTATATGTCACTGACATGTATACTTGTATTCTGGCAGGGCCGAGATCCGAGTGCAATTCAGGCATGTGCCGGGGAATCTCTACAAGCGGAGCTTTGGGACAGATCTTGACAAAGCTACCAATGAGTTGGTGATTCGGGTGCAGCCTGACGAGGCTATCTACTTGAAAATCAACAACAAAGTGCCAGGCTTAGGGATGCGATTGGATCGTTCAAATCTCAACTTACATTATGCCGCTAGGTACGGTCCTGAATCGCTCAACCTTTTAAATGTGTTTTATGATTTCCACATGCATCTGAAACGTAGACATTTCCTTCTTCGTCTATTCTTGACGATCTTCTTGAGGGCTGTTGTGTTTCTCGAGATTGATACAACATAGCGGTTGGATCGAATTGAATCAGGTGACATCTTTTTTATTCGTCTTAAGGATTTTTGAGAACCGAAAAAATTAGAGAAGTATGAGGTTTTTTAATCAATTGTTTCATAAACTATGCAACTTGATATGGACAGGTATAATAAGGAAATTCCTGATGCATATGAGCGGCTTATACTGGACGCTGTTGAGGGTGAACGGAGGCTCTTCATCAGAAGTGATGAATTAGATGCTGCGTGGGCATTATTTACTCCTCTTCTGAAAGAGCTGGAGAAGCGAAAGGTGGCTCCAGAGCTCTATCCATATGGCAGCCGTGGTCCAGTAGGCGCCCACTATTTGGCTGCCAAATACAATGTTAGGTGGGGCGACAACAGCTACGAACCTACAGAGAACTGAAACCTCATCCCCCTAAACTTCTGCAATACGAATCTGTCTAGAAATGAAATTAGTCAGGCCTTATTTCACTTGTAGGTAAAGGTTTACACTTTGACTGCACTAGGCATTTCAAGCAGCTGGGGCGCCATACTTAGATCCGTTACCCATACCAAACTTGTAACGCCCTCAACCTCGTCGGTGCAGAGTGAAGGCAAGGCTTGTGTGCCAGGAGAAAACATTGGGTGTCCGAGTCTGAGTTTTGGTAATCGTAGATAGTGCAATATGGTCCTCATTTTTGTGAGTGTCCATATTGTTACATAGCTCACATGCCATTTTGTATATTGACAGCTGCTTCTAGTCTATAAGTTCCTGCATAACTTCTGAGAAGCTGAAATGGGGTACACCCAAAGTTCATAGGTAGTTTGGAACACTTGTGACGTGGTTATTTGTCAAAATATTAATGGAGCAGCTTCCAACATGTTTGAAAATTAAACCGTGTAAGATTTTTTATTATTTATTAATTGGAATAACCTTATTTTACACTTGTCATGGACTACTTATCTGCTCAACCCAACAGAGTGCCTCATTAACGTAGATTTGCCTTCATCTATATTGAAATGAGTTACAATATTTAGTCAAACCTTCTAAAGAATCAAATCATAAAGGATTATCAACTGGATTCTATTGTTCTAGAATGTGCAGAAGTAAAGTTTAAAAAAGAGATAAACTTGGATTTTTCATTGTGCATTATCAATAATATAAATTAAGAAATAGATAAGTATTCAAACCTAACTAAAGTGAGTGTGCGTGTGTGCATACATACATGTAAAATTTAGGTGTTGAAAGTTTCAGTTTCAGACATTGACGAAGTTTTGAACCAAACACCTCGGTGTGGAGACAGAAGGTTCGAAAGCGGTATTTTCTGCTCTTAGATACTACTGCTATTGCTGCTCGACTCTCTCGACCGATTCAAATGTGTGGAGTACGAGAGCATAAAGTGGATTCCAGGAATATTGCACCAGAGTGGTCTACAACTTCGCGATATCCATGCTCGAGGCGCCGCCGAAACGTAGGAAAGCTGTCAGTGCGGACACAATCCCACATGTGGCATCAACAGACGGTCAAACTGCAATGTCGTTTGAGAAAGGTCAAAGGATCCGATTCTTAGCGATGGAACTTTTACCGGAATCGTGATGAGTTTGCAGTGTTGAGAATCATTCCATCGCAAACCATACTGGAACTAGCTTGCGCAAGGGAAGGAATTGAAAATGCCATGCTCTGACGATGACGGAGATTTCTTGTCACTTCGTTAGCAGTTGTAACATTCCCAAGGAAAAGGTCTGTGAATGTTAGAGTGTGATTGTACTCAGCGAGAACGGGCTCGTATTTTGTGATTATGCAAAAGGGTTTGCGTATGCAAAGCTTTGAATGATTTAGGGAGTTCCACCAACTCTCGCATGTGGGGTTGGACAGTTCTAGCGGGTTTCAACGTAGAAATCTAGGCAATTAAGGTGGCTGAAACCACTATGCCCACCTGTTACAGATACCATTAAGACGAAGATTAATCACAGTCGTGATAACGATTCAACGCCTTGAAGTGGGCGGCATGCGCTTCGTAAATGAATCAAACCAGGTGGTGAACATTCATGTCACACAAGTTCAGTAGGTACCTTCGACCGTGGCTGTGAAAAGTAACTCAGCGCTGGTATACTTGTTGTCTTTGTATGTACATAATCACAGGATGTACATAACCACATAGATACAAGCAACACAGCCTCTTTCCTTGTTTTCAAGTAAACCCTAAGGATCTGTCAGGATATTCAGTCCAACTTCGTTGATCAGCACTAGCAATCAGTTCTGCGTGACATACTTGAAGGAAAATCGGTGTCTTCGTATCCGGATTGTTGACGTAATCGGATGAGAGATGAGGCAGTTCGCTGCTAAATGACATAGAATTCAGGACAATCTTGTACTCCTTGATGTACCCAGCTGGGCTCGACGCAGACTTCTTTAACACAGACACACTTTACGGTGCATGCGATGAAGGAACTGCAATCCCAGAAACACATCGATGATCAGAAAAAGCTGCTGCGGATCAACGACCCACCAGTACACGATGGCTAAGCATCCAGACATCAATCTAGTGAAACTCCAGAACTTCTCGTCATGAACGAACCCTGATTTCCGTCATCCACATATCAGATACTGGGATCAGTGGTGGAGAGCGCACCGAACTTCAACCGCTTCGAAACGAAGCACCAGCTTCCATTCCGATCACGTCGAAAATCTGCTGCACAGATCTAAATTGGCAAATGCTCCGGTAGGTAAGAAAACACAAAATCTACCCCTAGACCTTTCCTGGTTGTAGTATTAGTAATATTTAAAATTTAAAAACTCTTCGTGAATTGTGATTCATATCTGCATGTTGACTTCTGAAACCCATTTGATCAAAAGAGGACCCAGTCGACACCAATCATACATACATACATACATACATATATATATAGTGTGTGTGTGTGTGTGCGTTCTAACCCGTGGTTGCCACAAAGCCTGTAATGCGACCAAGGGATAAGCCTTGATTTTGAAGCGTGCAAAACGTCGGCCACTATGCCTGATAAGTGAGGCTGGGAAACTGTTCATTGAAAAGGCCCAAAGTAGGCTTTCTTGAGATTCTGCAAGCTGGACGTAGCAGCACTGCTCATTCTATTCCATTGTTTTAATTGATTGACAAAGCATCCCATCGCATTAAAATTCCACGGACGTCACCACCACTGATGATTCAGCATGGGTCCAGAATGAATGGTGGTGGCTTCTGCTAGGAGCTCTCCATAGTTTGCTTACGTGGCAGGTGTTGACTTCTGAGTCCCATCATATGATTTATTTGTGTTTATATATTTTTACAACCCATCTACAACAAAGTTTATGTGCGTTTTTTTAACTATAAAAAAATGATGTTTTGTGCATGGAGGAGTCAGAGAGTGTATTTTGTATAATCTAACCACACATATGAGTACTTTTTGTACCAAAAAAGTGCATTCATTTATTTTTTTGTGTGCTGAATATGGAAAGGCCTACAATGAAGTATGGGAATTCAACCAATTACACTAAATTTGAGTTTTTACATTATATGGTTTACATTGAAGTTTAATTTTTAAAATTTAAATACTACTAATACTACAACCAAATTTACATCTATATATTTGTATGTACATATGTACATATGTATGTAGCTAGATGTCTATCCTTCATTGCCTTCATGTCATCAAATTGTCTTTGTTTACCCTCTGCAAGTGCAACCTTTTTATACATTCTCCATTCTACATACCCTAGCCAACAAAAGGGAATTGATGTGAAAGTAAGTGAGTGAACAAAGAGGAGTTCATCTAGTGCCTAGATTAAAATAAAAGGAGGTCACTAAGTAATATTAAAAAGTCAAATATAATACTACTTTTGAATTATAATATAATTTAGGCTCATAGGCACTTAGTAGTACTACAAACATTACAAACGGTTCCCTCTCTCTCTCTCTCTCTCTCTCTATCTACATACATACATATATCACTTGGATGTTGTAGGAGTAGAATATTCTAGCCTACAAAAGAGTTGACCAAGTTTCACATTCATTGTTAGATTTTGAATTATTTATCAAAATGCAATACAGAACACATGCTAAAACACTAATTTTACAACGCGAGTGTGCAAGCAAAAACAATATGAGTAACAAGCCACAGATTACATTTGTATAATCAAACCAATTAAAAAAAAACGCACATAAACTTTGTTGTAGTGCTGGCATTGAATCAATGTTGATTTTTGGAACATTTTTACAAAGGAGTTGAAAATTATTATGAATTATTCAACACCTACATCAAGAGGCACCACGAACTTGGAAATTTCCAAGTGATAATGCACATGAAGATGTGTTTATGGACACGTAGCAAAGGTGCCATGCAATTTGCATTCCTCCATCCTTTTCCATCTTTCTTTGCCATCCATCCCAAAATGACCTGAGGAGACACCTCAAACTATTTGAAGGCATGCTAACAACTTAAAATAAGGGAAAGTTAAACATAGGGTGTGAAAAGAGAGGGATCACGAAATAAAAAAACTGTAAAAAAATATTAATAAATAAATAGTGAAGAATCATTTGATGTTAATCAGGGATTGGATTTAGTAATGAGTTGACAAAAGTAGCCCAAATTTCTTTAATTGGGGGTCAAGTAGTGTCCCAATATACCTTAATGGGACCCCAACTTTTATATGTATTTCCATTTTTACATAGATTGTTTTCAAAAAGCATTAAAAACTTTTTGGGTAGGAAAGTCTTTGGTCTTGGAAGTTGGGACAAATCCTAATTCTTAAAACTTGACCCCTTTCATAGAAGATGTGCCACGTGGTACCCATAGAATATAAACTTTTTGGACAGATGTTATCTTCAAATTCCAAACCCTTCTTGCATCTTCTTAAGTTTACGGAAACTCTTGTTTTAATTTTTATTTCTACTTCTTTACTGAACTTGCATGGGAAAATTTATTCGTACATGAAAGCACCATATTACATTATTGTTGCAGGTAAAATACAAGAAATTTTATTTAAGGTAGCATTGACGTGTATTCTCAACATATTTGAGGTGCAATTGTATGTGAGAACATGTTCTCAAATATATGCTTGGATTATAACATTGATTTAAATCAATTACATTTATATACATCAATGCTAATTTAAACTTGTTACACTTCAAATATATGCTTGGATTATAACATTGATTTAAATCAATTACATTTATATACATCAATGCTAATTTAAACTTGTTACACTTTCTTGATTATTATTATTATTATTATTATTATTGTTATTATTATTTTATATGTTTTTTTATGTTGATGATTTAAATAAATAAATGAATTTTTGTTGATTTGAGGTTGAAAAATATGACACCATAAAAGATATTATTACACATAAAAGAACCATTTCCATAAAATATAAAAGAAAGTATAAAATTGTATATGGATAATAAATTTTAGAACAAATGAAGCTCATGAATTGTTCTTATGCAGGCACTCATATTGATTACATTTCCTGCTGTGACATACTAAAAAGGAAGTGAATTTTACACACTCATGTACATACATATATGAACAGGCTTTGTGACATGTAAATTGACATGTTTAAAACTTAATTTCTCAGACTTCAGAACAAAAGCAAACGGACAAAAAATATATTTTTCTACTTTCTGGGTATCCTTTTGTTTATACTGTTAGAGTGAAACAATCATAGTGTCAAACAACACACATAAAAACAGAAACAAAAACAAAAAAACCAAATGAAGGTCAACCTGATATAACATTATAGAAAGATACCCAATTACATTCGTTGTGAAGAAGGAAAACCACCTCAGTCAGTTTGGCCAACAATGTCAAAAAGAGACTAAGGTAGACAACCCATTTCTGACAACTTAAGCATTTCAGCATATATCTGATAGGTGTAAAAATGGAAACAAATACCCCAATGTAGGGAAATAGAAATTAGAAGTATTCCAAGTGTTTTCACATGGTTTGGCCCAAAAAAAAAATGTATATAAATGTTTTAGCTAAAGATTCTCTTTAATCCATTTTGGACACATAGGCCTACTTAATTCCAACCAGTGGTGGGTTACAAAAACCAAGAATTTAACTTTTATAAAACCATAATGTGTGGCACCTATTAATGCTATCAAGAGAAGTGTGGCACCTAATTATATTATTATTCTATCCCAACCAATCAACAACAGTTGCCTTCTATTGATAATTCATGTATACCCATTCCGAGTACAATGAATTTTATTTATTTCTCACAGTTTAAGTAGCCCCAACCTATTTCCGATCATTAAAATGTCAGACCTAACTGACTAATAGAATTAGGTTGACCAACATTGAAATGAGGTGGTTGACAATGGTTTGACTACCTTAATACACAGACAAAACCAAAACTTGGAACTTGACATGCTAATAGCAACTGACACACACTTAATTTATATCAGCTTTATGTAAATTATATACGAACAGATGAAGAATGGAAAATAATTACCATGTGAAGCAGCTAAGATGCAAACGTCCTGGACAGCTTCAGAGATTCCTCACCTACGAGTCTGTCGACGTTGCTGGGGTGGTGACATGATCTGGCAAGAGGTGATGAATCTGCAATGAACGATGAGTTGATGTTGATGGTGAAGCACGAGCCGACATACTCGGACGAGAAAGAATGAATCCGATGTGTGTATTTCTGATTCTCTCACTGCACACCACTGCTGTTGATGCGGAATTTTGCAGGTGCCGGCTCTGGAGATCCGCCTGACGGAATCCGGTATACCGTCGATGCTGTCTCCGAAAGGTTGATTGTGGAGCCAGGGGAAGAAGGACCGAGGACTGGTCTCACAGGACTCGAGGTTGAGGTTTGACTTTGCTCAGAACCAGGCCCGAAGGCATCCATGCTGATAAAGTGCCGTCTGGCACCGAAACTCGGGAGGTCGAATATGCTTATCAACAAGTCTTCACTGGAGGTGCAAAATAGACAGAGGACGAGCGCCCGAGAGAATTGGCTCCTTTGAAGCTGACGTCAAGGGGGGACCAGGGCGAGAATTCAACGCTGGCACCGTGTGAGCCTAGGCGAGAGTGAACGCTTTAGCGCGTGGTGTTCTATTTTCAAGTGGAGCGTTTAGGTTGTCGGAGGAAAGTCGCGCTTCTCTCGTTTCATTCCGGTCATTTTTTCGCCACCCGTGGAGATAATCTCTGCCGATCACCTCCTCACACTATCATTCAGCGACGGTCTCTTGATCGCGACAGTTCGGCAGCCTGGCTGGACACTGAGCGCAAGTGACAACTCTGATTGATAACAGTATCAAACGACTGCACAACCGCTGGCGTCCTTCCGGAGCTAGTTTTGACCTGTAGCGGTTGAGGATAGAATTGTTTGGAGATGCGGTGGTTTGGGAATTTTCTGCCTTCTTGCGCCAGATGTTCAATCTGATTCGAGGGTCGTAGTGGGTTGTTGGCGAAGTGCTGAAAGTAGCCATCTGGGGGGGGGGGGGGGGTGGGGGGTCAGTCGAGGGAGAACATCAAGCGTGAAAGAGCTCCACAATATTTTTGAGCCGTGAGTAGACTTGCTCTGAAAGAACCCGGTTCCTAATCTCGTGTGTGAAACTGCATCCTATGCCCATGTTGGTCTCTTAACTGAAGCGGCCGACGGCGGACTGTTTGGTTTTGTGATCTAGTATGTTAGAATAGAAGCTTCGATTGGACGCTCATTAACACACTGACTTCCAAGGCAGACTCTCAGCTTGGTCGGACATTTCGTCTCCTTCAAGTGCAAGCACTAGCTTTATGGAAGAATTGGTCAAAGGGTCGGGGGTTTAATCTATATGGTATCGCAAGAGTGATGCAGTTCCCGGAGGCCGAGTTTGGATCAAGAGCTCGAATGCTGATTAAACTCAGTAGTAAAAACCCTCTATAGCACAGGGTAATGTGGTGAAGGAAGGTTGAAACAGTTTGCCACATACCAACTGGAGTCGGCGGAGTGAGGATCTACAAGAAAAGCCCTTCTAGGGGAAGTCTGAGAAGGAGTTGTGTAGGTATTCTGAGATTAGTTGGAGTAATTAGGACCTTCCGCAGCCGCCGCGGCTAATCGACGGTTGAGAAATTCTGATCAACGTTGAAAACACTCCAACGAAAACCTTGCAAAATGATGCGGGGACGTATCATATTAATCTCTAGAGCGAAAAGACGAAAGGAGGTGCCGCGATTCGTCTTCGCGAGCATTTTCCTGAACCTTGTATCGTTGATTGACTTGAGGGTAGCAGCTTGTAACAGTACTTCTTGCGATGAAACCATGGGAGCAGCCAGTTCTTTCGTGGGTTTAAGAGTGGAGCAGGCAACAGCAAGAAGACTACTGGTACGTTCTGTATGCTTCTTTGCTGCGTTCTCAGGGTCCATCACATCAAAATGTGGTACGTAATGTTGTCTGCAGTATAGATTGTGAGGTACAAGCAAAGTGGCAATCTCTCATTACCCTGCCCTCTGAGCAGCACCATGACTCCGTCGACCGTTCAGAATAAACGGTACATCGTACACAAGTCCGCGCTGCATTCTGTAACAAACCGAGACTAATTTGCGATGTTTCTGGGTCTATACGAGTCTTGACTCTGAAAGAATCTGAATAAACACTTGCCCTTCATGACAGGCTGTGGACTCAACGCAAACTTTGCGGCAAGATGGCGACGTTCTGATTCAACTTAAGGATACCATCAAAATATATTGTGGGGACCCAAACAACATCACCTCTATGTGGAAACCTCAGGGGAAGCGTCAAGCTGTTAATCCGTGTAAGGAGAAGAACGGAACAAAGCAATACTGGCGAGGAATCGATTGCAGTGCTGACTTGAGGGTTGAATCCATCAATCTCACTAACCTGGGCTTCTCGTGCAAACTGAGCCTCCTGGTTCCTTCTCTGAGATCTCTATCGCGCTTGAAACACCTCGATTTGTCGAATAATTCTCTCACAGGGCCGATCCCGCTGGAACTTGCGTCCGCTACAGCCTTGGAAACCCTACACCTCAGAAGCAATCGCCTAGATGGGCAGGTGGTACCAACAATATTCCGAGCTTTAAGCAACCTCACCTCGCTCGATGTCGGGAACAACAGTCTTCAAGGATCAATTCCCCCCTCACTGGGTGGTTTGCAATTTTTAGAAACCCTTGACATGTCGGGAAACAACCTCACTGGTCAGATCCCTGTAGAACTCAACTCTTGCAAGAGGCTCAACAAGGTGGTATTGAGTAGAAATGGGCTTCAGGGGGGTGTTCCTTTTAAGAGCCTGTCGAATCTCACATTCCTAGATGTTGGCAAAAACGATTTGAGTGGTGAACTTCCCACGTCGCTAGATTCCCTCCTTGCTTTACAAACTTTTGATGCCTCGCACAATGCTTTCGAAGGGAGATTCCCCAGTTTTGCAGGACTCAAGAATCTATTGTATCTTGATCTTTCTACCAACAAACTGACGAGTCCAATCCCGAGGGAATTCTATGACTTGATGCGACATCTTTCTTTTCTCAATGTTTCGGATAACGACTTAAGGGGAGAAGTGCCACCTTTCGATGAACACAGAGGTGTGACTAGCCGAAGCTTTTTAAACAATCCTCATCTTTGTGGGAAAACATTGAATAAGAAGTGTTCAACCGAGAAGTCAATGCTTGTTGCGATATCCGTGGGAGGTACGGTAGGATGCCTGGTGATGGTTCTTTTGATGTACGTATGCTGCTCCAGATGCTTACGAAACGCGAAGAGCAGCAAAAGCTCGGCAACTGTTTCTGCGGAGGTTGAGTTGAATCTCTCTTCAGAGGATGTCACACGAATTACACAAAATTTCAGCGAGCAAAATTACATCGGCATTGGTAGCATGAGCACCGTGTACAGAGGACAATTTCTGGACGGCACCGCAGTGGCGGTGAAGAGATTAACAATTCGGCGGGGTGAAATGTCCGAGAGTGCGCAGACAGTACTAGCGGACAGGTTCGAAATTCTAGGCCATATTCGGCATTCGACTCTCGTCAAAGTGATGGGTTACTGCTGCAGTCCTGACATGAAGGCACTAGTAATGGAGTATATGCCCAACGGAACGCTGAGCAACTTGATGTATCCATCGGGGGATGCCGAAGTGGTGAAAGAGTTTAACTGGACTCATCGAATCAATGCGGCTATCAGCGTCGCTGAAGGGTTGAAATACCTTCACCATGATTGTCCGACCCCAACTGTTCATGGAGATTTGAAGCCGAGTAACATCATGTTCAACACGTTTATGGAAGCAAGGATGTCCGATTTTGGCGTCGCAAAGGCTTTGAGTGATAACGGAATTGGGCCGAGCGCTTCAATCGTCGCCACAACCAGTGGCTACTTGGCTCCAGGTACACCACCCAGACCCACAACCATGAATTAGTCTCAATTAGTCTCAATTAGTCATAAGTTGATTTCTCTGCTCTCTTGTTGATTGGAAAACTCGCAACGAGAGTTAGTGCTAATGTGAGATAATTCCATGAATTGGCTTGGTTCTCAGAATCTGCGAGACAAGCGTGCACGATCAAGGGCGACGTGTACAGCTTCGGTATCATTGTACTCGAAATGATCTCTAGCCGGAGCCCACAATCTCTTGAAGCGGGACAAACCCTGCCCCAGTGGATACGTGATACAATACAACGCAATAAGTCGCTAAAGCATGTGCTTGACCCGATCCTTATGAGTGAACTGCGCCTCCAGCAGCAGAGAATGGCGATGGTTTTGGGCGTGGCGCTTCTGTGCACACGTGAGGACCCCAAAGAGCGGCCATACATTACCGAAATCCTCAAGATGTTGAATCATATTAAAGCGAATCGACAAGACGGTAGCCTTAGGGGATCACGGGGATCCAGAAGGTTGAGGAGCAGTCTCAGAAATCATCAAAGAAACGAGGAGGTCCCTGGAATTAACGTCCAGCCATGGCCTCCTTCCGCTGGTCCGTCTGCTCCTCGGCGCCACGTGATGTCGCTCCCCCACAACCCTACTCTCTCAGACTGGACCCAGGATTCCGCCGAAAATAGATGACCATGCAGCCAAGCAGCTAATAGCAATAACTTTCCACAAGAGTTTGCAATTGCGCCACCCACATCAATCAAGGTCAACAAGGTTGCTAATCCTGTCTAAGTCATTTGTTAAACCTGTGGGTCACTCTGAAGGCGTCAAAGACGCAGGTCCTCACTCGGGTGATGAAGAACATAGCAGCTTGGTTCTTTCAAGACGTGGGGGTGTGAATGGTCCACAATTCTTCCGGCAAGTCCAATGACTTGTGCATGAACTTGTAGGAATCTCAGGATGGGCACACTGTTGTTAGATATTTTGTCCCACGGATGTTCAATAATTTCAGAAGTTGTTCAGACTGTACGTTGCAAAGCGCTTAAGAAAACACATGAGAAAGTGACAAAAAACTAAAACCAAAAAAAGGATTCAAATTTGAGAGATTCATCTCCTCAAACTGTAATATATTTCAATGTTATTTACACCTTCGGAGACAATGTGATCATTCAGCAGAAACCAAGGATCATCACTGATTCATATCTGTTCTAACATTTACGTGGTTGGCACATAAATAGAAAACAATCAATGATGCTGTAACCTGGGCTTGGCACAAGAGGATTAAGAGCTAGTGTAGAAGCTGGAAAAGTGAATCTTTATTTACAATCAAATATATTTCATCGCTTTGCAGACGAATTACCATTGATTCGTCGAATACAGTATACTGAATTACACTGCTATTGAGAATGTTGTCAATAAAACTAATTTCACACCAAACTCTGCATCAAAGGATGCTATCACTTCAATGAGTCAAGGATGTTTGTGCTTGTTCCAGTGAATGACCAAGCCAAACGCCATCAACGACATGATCACAACCTGCGGGCCATTGCAGGTACAAAGAATACCTTTAAATCATGTCTTGGATTCCATGCATCAACACAAGCTATGAATGCGATACAGTAATAACAATATCAACAACACGACTAACAACTCTGAAAAAAGGTACTTGGACGAGTATAGCTTGAAATCACAAGGCCAGTGCGACTCTTCGTCTAGACACCGGATAGATGACTTACAGATATGGCGGAAGGGAGACCAACAACTGGATCTGGGAAAAATTTGTTCGCCAATGCGAGTCCCAGTAAGCTGCTCTGCATACCTGTAACAAAACGTGGCAATGTAAGAACATAATGTAATGAGAAACAAGCTTAAATTTGATGTCCACTTTCAGACTTTGCTGAAACCTCTCAAGCCGCCAGCATCGTATGCAGATCAGTCTACCTTTAGTATGTGCAATAATTGAAAACAATCCAGGAACCATAACTAGAGTTTTTGTACATAATAGTCGTACCAGATTCAAAAGATATGGTTCTTGCGAGTGCAGTGAGATCATCCGCCTTCGGAAACAGCACCTCAGTAATCTTGTAGCCAGCTAGAAAGGCTGATGTATGAAATGACACAACGGGCAAAAGAATTCCTAGTCCAAAAGGTGAGCGGATTGCATTGATGTTCACAGCTAAAGGCGAGCCAATGCAGCAACATGTTGTTAAGAGTGATAGAGCGGGCAGAAAAGGGCGTATCAACCTCGTGACTTGGGGCAAAAATCTGCATAAATAAGGAAACACTGTAAGACAATCATTGCCATTTTTTGCTTTGCTTATTAAAACAGTGGAACGCTGGCAAGAACCACTAAATGGAAAAAATGAATGTGTACCTGTTAAGAAAGAGGCCGGAAGCAATAGGAACCACAACAATTTCTGTGATGTTGGTAATCATACCAACAAGATCAATAGGCAACCGTTTGCCCAAGAGGAGCAGAGTAAGCAAGGGAGTGACCACCACTGCCAAGGCTGTCGAAAGAGCCGTCATGACAATACTCAGTGGTGCTAGAGTGGGCTCTGTAAGGAACGTCGCATAATTGGACAACTGCGCTCCACTGACACATGCGCACAAAATCAAGCCAGAACCTGCAAGACAAAGGCGATGTAGTGTGTAACGCGGTTGTTATTTCACCCTTGCAGATAACGATATAGTTAAGAGAGACTCCTGTAAAAGACAATTATCATGTGTTCAACTCTGAGGCACCTTGTAATTTTCGGTCGAAAACTAAAACTCTGAACGAGAAGGCTATTACATCAGTCAAGTGTCTAGCTACTCTTGATAGAGCGCCATGCAATACACACGATGGTGCTCCTGTATGAATTGTTGGAAACATCTACATCCTCACTACCATCTTTGCATATTACACTAAAAAGAATATCCGATGCAAAAGCAAGCCATTTCTCTCACCAATTGCTTCAGGTAGTTGCATAAGCCGAGTTGCAAAGGTGGCAAACAACACACCCAGCAGCGGCTTCAAAACGTATTGAGCTGCCAGACCCAGGGCTACTGGTCCAGGTCGTTCAACAGCGTGTTTGAAGTCATCAATGCTCAAATTAACACCCACAGCAAACATCAGAAACCCCAGAGCAGGCGCATAGTACCTGAAGATAAAGGAGATACAGGAAAAGAACTGTCATATACTGGTTAACCTCAACATTAAGACAACAAGGATTACCAGTATTACTTGCCATGCTTCCAAGGAGAACGAAATATCGCTCTCAAAGCAAAGCCACATGAGATTGGAAAGAAGATCAGGTTATGCTCACAAGAAGCTGTCTTACTTCGTGGTGAACCATGTGAAAGATGGTGGATATGAAAGCGCCAATACGGTACTCGCCACCACGGCGTGGGGGATGTACACATTGACGTGCTTCAAGGCGTCCTCCCACTTCTTCAGACCAGTCAACATGGGTGCCTGCAGCACCCAGTTTAAGTCAGTTCTACTTCACATTTATATTCTAACAAAATCACGTGTCTGGGTACCACAAGAGACTTTAGTAGAACTATTTCATACCTCCTGAGCTTTCCCATCGTTATCTGCGGCGCCAGCGCTGCACGTAATCTTGCCGCGAGGTTTCGTTTTTCCTCGTGGCGTCCTGCCATAATCTATCCTTCCAACCCATCTCATTACTATCAGTTTGTGTCGATAGAAATATTTCTTCATGGCACACGTTAGCCTAAAGAAGATGAATAAAATCTTTAGTTTCGAGTAAGTAAGTAATAATGGTGGCTCTAAAACTACGAGTTCTTGTGTGATTGCGCAGAGGCAACGAAGTTTTCTACTTTTCATGAGATTCTTCTCCGGGTCATAGTACAATCCAGGTTAACTTTCGACTAGATGCCCCATTCCCTAAAACTTGAGACATTTGAGGTAAAGCATACAATCACACATGGTTCGTGAACTATTACCAAGTGGCGTGAAAGAAACCCCAATTTGTTTCCACGAAAATTGTTTTAAGATGCATGGTTGCTCTGCATAAGTATAGAGAGAGACATCAGTCGCAGACTTGGAAAATATCTGGGCGTCAGAAATAATGCCGCGTTCGTTATAGCACTTCGATTCAGGACGAAATAGTAAGCCAGCAACGCCTCTAAAAGCTCAGCAGTGACTCTCATCTGCACAAAATGAAGCCGAAATTTTAGACATCCCACCCTTCAAATGTACTTGTATGGTCGTAGAATTCCTCCTTCGCAATGTACCATTCCACTCTCCTGAGGCTTCACGAAACCTTAACGTTGGCCATACTTCGTGTTGCAGGGATAGCGACCTGCCCTGCATTGTCATTATCGCGTGTGTGCTCTCAAATTCTGTCCAGCCCCCCAAGTTGCAATTTCGTGAGCTATTTCTTGTAGATAGAGATGACGAAACGTTGGAATTCCAAACAAAACAATCGAAACATTTTTATTCTCAGTGGGGTCGTACATCACATGTTAGAAAGCCCTAGCCCTTTTCCCGCGACGCATTGTGACGACCTCTGGACATTGAATCCTCGACTCCGCAAAGTTCTCAGAGCTTGGACACGCTTCTCTTTGCCTCTAAAAGAATTCTCAATATAGCATCCGCCCTCTCTGTTTACATCACTCGCTCCAAAAGACTTCAAAATTTCCGAAGCGCAAGTGATCACTTCCATCAAACTCGTAAAAAAATCAGCACATGTTTTGACACTGTTTGCAAGCACACTTTAAACTACAATCAAAACATTCCCTTTACCCTACAAAAGCCCTAATTTTTGTCTGAAATTCGCCCAACCTGCGAATATGTGCGCACACACGCACACATAATATGCGCAACCGGCTTAAAAAACATACTCAAGTCCAGATTATCAGATTCACATATAAGATAACAAATACCTGAATACTTCAACAAATACCAAAAACCTAGGCAATCTTCAGCATCTCCTAGCTTGCTCTCAACTCAGTCCACAATCTTCACAAAAGATATTTCACAACTTGATCGACAAATGATCCTCCAACTCCAAGTCTCTCTGGTCAGTAGACCCCTCTCTCACATGTAACTTTGAAGGGATTCCATCTCAGCGATGCTCATTTGTTTCCCAAAGCTTTCTCAGCAGGGCAAACTCCCACCATCCTCCCAGGAAGAACTCTGCTGACTTTCGAGCTTGTCAAGCGTCGACAAAAAAATACCCTTCGACTCGAGTGAATTCTGGTCAGCGTGCGTGTCCCGACTCCCGGGAAACAGGCCTTTGTTGCCATGTGGGTTACTTTTATACAGGGCACCATGGGCACCATGTGGAGTGAGGGACGTTGGAACATGGAGATGAGTCCCGGGTGCCTCGAAAGGCGGCCCAGTAACCCATTAGGGTCTAAAAGCGCAATTTAGACCTGGGATAAGAAAGCAAGTCATCATCTGAGTGACTAAGATCATCAGGAGATGACTCCCAAGTGTCAGTGACAGGAGATCACGTGGCAACGTGACCTCAAAGTCATCACACGTTCCAACACAGAGCCGCAATGCAACACAGAGTCGCAATGCAACACAGAGTCGCAATGCAACACAGAGTCGCAATGCAACACAGAGCTGCGACGCCACTGGATCCTGGGAATTTTTTAAGACAAAAGTAACACTGTTTTATTGGGTGTTTTCAGAAGTGAAAGGAGCTCAAAGTGAAGCAACGTTATGTGTGGTATCAAAGCTTTTAAGTGAAGCAACTTTATGTGTGGTATCAAAGCTTTTAAGTGAAGCAACGTTATGTGTGGTATCAAAGCTTTTAAGTGAAGCAAAGTTATGTGTGGTATCAAAGCTTTTTAGGTGAGACTTGAAAGAAAATTTCCACAAGAAATTTTGGATAATGCAAGAAGAATTAGTTAAGTTGGTTAGGAAAACTACAAGACCAACTTTTCAACTATTGGAAGAAGAGATTCTTGAGACAAATATACAAAAGGTGCATGTCGATCAAGAGATGACAAAACTAAAAAAGAAATTGTTAAAAAAAAATCCTTGCTTGATGAAGAATCCCCTCTTGTTCTACAAATAAATGATGAGGAGAGTGTCCAAGAAGAGCAAGAGGAGCAAGTTGAAAGCTTATAAGAAGCTCTAGATTGTCAAAGTGAAGAAGAAGAAAGTAAAAGAGAGAGTAGAAACTGAGGTAACAAAAGCAAACTACTTCTAGAATTTCTAGAGACTCAATGGAAGGATCAAGAGTGAAAAAACAAAGTATTGTCGTTCTTGATGAAGTTGAAAAAATTGTTAAGAGGCTTATAGAAGAAAATAACAAAGAATTTGAAAGGAAGTTGGAAGTGAACCAACTTCTTATAGATTCTTTGATGAGAGAGAATGAGAAAGAAACTTTACTTGAAGGCCAAAAGGGCAAGTCAAGCTCTTATAGAGCCAAAACAAATCAATCCAAGAAGTGGATGGGGCACAAAGTACAAGAGAACCATAAGAAGGTTTCTTAAAGAAATTAAATATTGACATTTGGCCAATAATATTGAAAGTGATGTGGACAAGATTAAGACATTGTTGGCATTGTTTGAAAGAAGTGCTTTAGATTGATTTGATGGAAAAATCAAAACCAATTTCAATTATACTAAAAAAATTACTTAAGTTGAATTATGTGATGGATTCATTGAAAGATTTAAGAATAAATGGCAAAACTTTATAGAAAGGTTGGAACTTCTTAAGTTGAGGCAAAAAGAAGAAAAAACCCCACTCCTCAAGTATGTTAAAGAATTCTAAAACCAACTTGCTTATATTCAATTGAATTATAAGAAATATTTATTTATTTTTATTTTTTTATAATGGATTGAGTGTGGCAACAAGGAAAAGATATTGGGAGAAAAAAATCATTCCAACCAATTATGATGGAATTACATATTTATTTCAATAATTACTTATATGATTACATAGAAATAGGTAAAAGTAGATTAATTTCATAATATCTTCTAAAAAAGCTTCTTAGAAGCTTCATAGAGATAGCTTTACACATATTTGTAGTTGATTGATAGGTTAGAAACTTAATCAATAAGTTAATCGTGTGTCACATGTATTGATAGCTTGTGAAACAAGCTAACTATTTAGTACACATATAGAAAATTTGCCTTGTAAGTTAAGACATATGTTTAGCAAAGTGAATACATATTGGAGGTCCTATAGAATCTCACCACAAAATCTGAATTAGATAGTATATATGGAGGCAAGAATGAAGCCTTCTTCACTCTTATCAATGCCTTTCTAGTCTTTTGTCTTGTTTTAAGACTTTCTAATATTTTTATCTTTGATAATAGTAGTATAACCAAAACTTAGAAAAAGAAAAACCATTTTGAAGGAAGAGCCAAGTCCTTCTATAGCAAGAAGAAACTTCCATTTTTAAAGAGAAGGTTTGAAGAAAATAACCCTCAATCCTTTAAATCAAAGACTAAAGAAAGTCAAGGAAGTAATAACAAGAAGACAAAAATAAGTTCAATTAATGTGACTTGTTTTAAGTAACAACAAAAAAGACACTATCCTAATAATAGCAAGAATGAAGAAGTACCTAAAAAGATAAGTAAAAATTCTTATATTCCTTTTTTTAGTTGAGACTTATGAAATAAAACAACTTCAAGTCATAAGTCTTAGCAAGAAGGTCTTAATAAGAAAAAGAGGTTTTGAAGAAAAATTCACCTTAAAAAGTTTATATAGGAAACTCATCTATTTAAGTTCTAAGTTTGAAGGTTTTAAAGTTTTCATATTGATTGATACAAGGGCAAATAATTTATTTATGACTCCAACTTGTGTCAAGAAGTTAAAATTGATTTAAGAATAAACCAAAAAAGTGAAGTTTTTTTTTTTTTTTTTTTTTTTTTTTTTATATAAGGTGAAAAAATAACCAACTTAGTTATAAAAGATGTAAAATTTAAGTATGGAAAAATAAGGTTCTAGGAAGACTTTATAATGTGCAAGTATAATGGAGTGGATATAATATTAGGTAATACTTTCTTTGATTTTTATAGAATAGAACTCTCATAGAAGCCCAAAATGAGAGTAGTCATGGTGGAAAAAAATAAGAAAGTAGTAGATTTACCATTTACAAATCTTTCCATATTATATCAATCTAGAATCTCTATAGTTTTTCAAAGTGAATTGGAAGGAGAGTAAAATTGAATTGGTCCTAGGTACACAACCTCGAAGTAAAGCATGTTATAGATTGAATCAAATAGAGTTAAATGAACTCAAGAAGCAACTCAACAAGTTTCTTGAAAAATTATATATTAGAAAAAATAATTCTCTATTTGGTATCAAAGTTCTTTTTGTAAGCAAGAATGATGGAAAAATGAGGATGTGCATTGATTATAAGGCCTTAAATAAGATTATCATCAAAAATAACTACTCACTTCTAAGAGTTGATGATTTATTGGATAGGTTGAATAATAGTAAGTATTTTAATAAGATTAATCTTAAAAGTTGTTACTATGAAATAAGTATTGTCCAAAAAAATATAAAAAAAATACTTGTAGAACTATATATGATTTCTATGAGTTTGTAGTTATGCCTTTTGGGTTGTATAATAGTCTTGCTATCTTCACTACCATGAAGAACTCAATCTTTCATAAAAATAGTGATGAATCTGTGATAGTTTATATTGATGATATTTTGATCTTTTCCAAGAATAATAAAGAACACAAGCTACATTTGAAAATAGTCTTGAATAATTTAAGAAACAATCAACTCTATGCCAATATAAAAAAAATATTTTTTTGTTAAAAGAAGTAGAATTTTTATGACATATTATCAATGGAGAGGGATTAATGCCAAATCCAAAGAAGATAGAAGCAATCAAAAGTTGAGAGGCACTAAAAATTCAAAAAGAAATAAGATCCTTCTTGGAACTAATAAACAATTGTAGGAAGTTTATAAGGAACTTTTCAAAGATTATTAGTTCCTTCATAAGTTTCTTAAAAAAAGATAATAAGAATATAAAGTGGGATTGAAAATAAAAAAGATTTTTTTACGAGATAAAAAAATTCTTTGGTATCAAGTATTGACTTATTCTATTTTAAATTTGATATGGAATTTGAAGTCCATATAAATATAAGTGACTTTGTAATTAAAAGATTCCTAATACAAGAAAGAAGATTTGTGGCTCATAGTTTCAATGCACTTATGCTAATTGATTTGATAGGAATTAGGCAAAGTAATGAAACTACTTTTGGTTTCTATTTAATAGAAGGAATAAGGTGGATAGCTAAAAGAGAGGCTATAATGAAAACTACCAAAGCTAGGCTTGGAATAGTCCAAGAAGATATAAAAAATAAATTGATAAGCATAGAAGAGATGTATACTATATAAAAGAAAATAAAATGTAGCTGAATATAAGCAACCTCACTTATTCAACACATCTCATTTTTGAGTGGGTTCAAAAGTGGATAGGTCTTTATAAAGTTGAAAGAAAATTACATAAAAATGTGTATATCTTAGACATATCAAAGAGATTGAAGTAGCATCCAATTTTTTATATAAGTATCTTTAAGAAGTTTGTAGAGGATGTGAGAGGCTTTCATAAAGAAAAGACAAAGAATCCATGTCAAAAAGAGGTATAGAATCAAACCATGGATCAAGTAGAAGTGATATTTGACAAGAAACATATAGATATAAGAAGAATTCAATACTTGTGTACTTTCAAAGGTTACCTTCAACATTAGTTTTAATAGATAAATGAAAAGAACTTAAGATATTTTCTAGGATTAATCATGGCTTTCAAGATGAAAATAGATGATTATAAAAAATGAAGGACCGTAAAGAAACAAATCAAAAATTGTTAAGGTGATTTTTTTTTTATATAAGTTAGAAGAAGCAAGTAAAGATGACCAAGAAGATGATGATATCTTCATTTCAAAGTAGAAAAGGGTTACAATCTTATGTAATATATATATATATATATATATATGAGCTAAAAGTATGGAAAATCCCAACAACATCAAATGAGCAAGATATATTAGTGGGAGATACTACTTAAAAAAAATTTAAAGAAACTTTTGTTTTAGAAGACCAAGGTGGGGGAAGTTTTTAAGAGATGAAAGATTTGAAAGGATTTCAATATGAAAGGACTTTGTAGAGGAAAATCTTAAAAAACTTGTATGTAGCGGATATAAGACTTTGAGCAACTAAGCCAAATGGTGAACCTTTTTTAAATGAGTTTTTTTATTGAGAGATTGCAAGTCACATCCATATGATAGGAAAGGATATTAAGGCAATGCAGGTCTTAGTTAAAAAATTCAATGGCTATGAAAAATTCTAAGTGAGGATGTAAGTCTTCATGATTCATATAAA